CTCTTTTTGTCCTCGGCTGGTTTGGGAACCACCTCTTCCCCAGGTGGGGCTGGCGTCATTTCAGCGACATCTCCGAGGCCTGCGTAAAAGGGAGTCAGGTATATGTAAAAGTGAATATTTCAGAAAAATGCGTCGTAAGCATACAGGGTGAACTTACCATGACTTTTAGCCTCCCATCTACCTTTTGTTAAGTCACGCCAACAACGCTCAGCATGTGAAGAAGTAGAAGCAGTTGTCGAACCCAACCTTCGAGGTCTGGAATCGCACCAGGAAACCAAGGGGAAGCTGCACCATGAAAAAGAAATTAGATCGAAGAAGAATAAAGAAAGAAAAATAGCGAATATCATCGATGGAGTTGTACTTACGTTTCATGTTCCATTCCTCGAGGAATGGCATTTTTTTCGGTGGGGGTTAGGTCAGAGGTCTTGATTCGGACAAACCGGCCCATCCATCCTCGGTCCTTGTCCTCATCAATGCTCGAGAACAGCGCCTTCGTGGACCGATGTTGGAGCTTTATCAACCCACATCGATAAAGGCGAGGGCTGTATAACCTGATCAGATGGTCGAGGGTGAAAGACATCCCCTCGACCTTGCTCGAAAAAATTTTTGAGTAAAATGATGATACGCCAGAAGGAGGGGTAGATCTGGCCAAGGGTCACCCGATATTGGCGACAGAAATCGAGTATGACCGGATCTACGGGACCCAATGTGAAATGATAAGTATACACACTTAAGTACCCTTCCACATAGGTCGTGATGTCCTCCCCAGGGGAAGGAATCATCACCTCCTTATTTTCGCAATTACAGTCCTTTTTCACCCGCTCGAGATCATCTTCAGATATCGAGCAGATATATCGGGACATGGGCTCACATCTGCCTGGAAATGAGGAAGGTCTTTCGACTTTGAAATCGGAAGACAACTCGCATGGCCCAGGAACACACTCCTCGATGCGAGGCTCCACCAGCGTTTTATCACCGGTTGGCCGCGATGAGGAGGCTTTTTCTTTCTGAGGGACAATTTTAGATGTTTTAGCCATCATTGTTGTGGAATTCAAGAAAGGAGGAGACTTTGATGCTATGACAAAACACAAACCGAAGAGGAAGATGAACTTAAAGAAAATTGAGAAGCTTGTAGATATTTGGGAAAAGGATTTGGAAGTAAAGATTGTAAAGATTGAGGAATTTATCTATTTATAGTGGCCACTTCAACGGTTTGAGGAAACTAGTGGCCAACCATCAACCACCGTTAACTAATGGCCTTGAGAACTATGCAAACACGACCCTTCACTCACTTCTGTCGCTGACGTCATGGAATTGACGTCATAATCGAGGTATCGTAGAATCGAGGATCAAATCGTTTCTTATCAGTTCACTCTAAGAAACGCGGGGACTATCTGTATACGGTCGAAATCGAGCATGCCCGATTTCCTAGACTCGAGGAGTTGCTTCGAGAATAAGCTCAAAACGGATCTGACTCGAGCCCGGTGGCAGAGTATAGAACTTGAGGATCGAAGTGCTCGTTGAAAATCAAGGCCGAGTATGACCAACCTCGAGTAAAGCATAATAATGGAATGGCAAGATATTAGCAACCAACCGAAGGTCTCGGTGGAAATCTCGGAATAGATCATACCTTCAGTTATTGGCGCCAAGCACGGGATTTATTTCCGTTGTTAGAGTTGTACCTTATTTAGGATTCATCTACTATATAAAGAGGGACGCCATTCATTTGTGACACACACATTAACTGATAAATAATACACACGCTACTCTCTGTTTACTCATTATTCTCTATTGTTCTTTATTGTTCTTGCTGCTTGATCTCGAGAATGTTCCAAATCGAGGTCGATACATCGCCACAACACTGGTTTGATTTGTTTTATCGTCTAATTCATTTACTTAATTCATTATTTGCCAATTGGCATTGGATCAGATCACGTATCCTCAAAACCACAACAAGTTTAATTGTTACTCAAATTTTAGGGTAAACAAGCCTTTTTCTTTCTTTCTTTTCTTATTTTCTTTTACGATGAAATCACAAAGTTTAAGTACGATAAATAAATAAAAAAAGAGGAGAAAACAAAGTTCCAATATAATTTAAATATTGTTATAAATATATATTATATTATGGATGTTCATTTAGTACTCCGTTGTAAATAAGCTTCCTAAAGAAGCTTTTCCATATGGGACTCTGCTGTAAATATGTTTATCTATTTAGTACTCTATTGGAAATAAGCCTCCTGAAGAAGCTTATTATTTCGGTAATCCGTTATGGACAAATATTACTCCCGCTAGAAGATTATCTATATGTGGTACAGTAGCAACTTACAAGCAGCTTACACAGCAGCTTGCAGTAGCAGCTTACAAGCAACTTACAAGCAGCTTACACAGCAGCTTGTATGTTTATTGTCAACCTGCAGTTTGGCATTTGAAATTGTTTTTCTCACTTAAGAGCATAATTTTTAAATTATGAAATCAAGACAGTTCATCTTGATAATGCTAGTTTGTATACAAGCTAGTTTAGCAGTGAATACCTCCTATTAATGGCTAAACTATTGTTTATGAGAACAAAGCTTCATGTGTTGGTCTAGGATTTTCTAAATTGCATATAGCAGCACTTGTATGCATCAGGCCAACAATATATGATAAGTCCTCCCCTCATAATTGGTTTAGGATCAGAAACCAAATATTTTACTATCTTTTGATGTGTGGTATATGATTAATTTCTCTACCACAATGCATATAGATATGTTTTCCAAAGAAGATTGGGGATATATGTTAGTTTTTCTAACATTTGGAGGATGGAATAAACAGCTGAAAAACATGCTATATGAATCGAATTATCATTAATATGATCCTCACTTAGAAGATAATTCAAGTCAAATACCAAAAGCATTTGCTGATCCAAAATCAAATATCATATTTCAGCTGCAAATGCTCCTATTAAAATTTAAAGTCCATGAAGGATAGAGTTTACTGTACGCATGAAGCGTGGTAGACCAATCGGTTTCAAAGGTAACAATCCTTGAAAAATGATAAAGAGCTAATGATCAAAATGATCATAATGAGGAGGAAATGAGCTCCAGAAGAGCCCAGGACATAACATTTCATGAAACTCCAGAAGAAGTTCAGGTACCTGAAAATAAAGAAAGTGATGAGATCTCAACAAGTTATGTCGCTTAGGAACCGATACAAAATGATCGTCGATGATATATTTGATACAATATAGTGCACAATATTGTAAAAGTTTGTGAGGATCGGACCTGTAGTCCAAACACCTGAAGATGTCATGCCATTTAAATGCAAGGCATAACCTATCTGACTCATTTGATTAAGTCTATATGAAGATCCCTGAAGGATTTAAAATGCCTGAAGCATATAATTCAAAGTCTCGAGAAATGTACTCGATCAAATTACAAAGATCTTTGTGCGATTTAAAGCAATATGGGTGCATGTGGTAATCGCCTCAATGAATATTTGCTGAAAGAAGAAGAGCTCCAAAAGTCAATTGAATATCTTAAGAAAGAATTTGCGATGAAAGATCTTGGAAAGAAAAAAGACTTTGTTTTAGTCTGCAAATTGAACATTTAGCAGACGAAATTTTTATTCATCAATCTGCCTACACAAAAAGGGTCTTAAAATGCTTTTACATGGACAAAGCACACTCATTGAGTACACCAATAATTTTTTTTTAATCACTTAAAGTGAATAAGGATCCGTTCTTACCTCCAGAAGAGGATGATGAACTCCTTGGTCCTGATATACCCAAGTCTCTGCACTGTACTCTTTTTCCCTTGCTCAGATTTTTTCCCACTAGGTTTTTCCTGGTAAGGTTTTTAATGAGGCAGCTTGCAATGCATATTGTTAGTGTACTCTTTTCCTTGACTAGGATTTTTTTCCATGGGGTTTTTTCTAGTAAGGTTTTAACGAGGCACATAATAATGAACATCCAAGGGGGAGTGTTATGAAAATATTATTGTGGATGTCCATTTATTACTCCACTGTAGATAATCTTCCTGAAGAAGATTATCCATTTAATACTCCATTGAAGTTTTCTACAAGCAGCTGATGCAGGCAGGTTGCAAGCAACTCAATAAAATGACTTGCAGCAGTTTCTTGGTTTGATGAGATTAATTTAAATCGATCTGAAATAGTGGTGGATAATATTTTCTACAAATTCAACTTTTGAGAAGATGGTATACAAGATTGGAATGCGGAGACTCGAATATTTGAAACAAGGTTTTCATAAGGGGGAGTAAAATACGCTATGCACTCTTTTTTCCTTAATAAGGTTTTTTCCTACGGGGTTTTTCTTACAGGTTTTTAATGAGGCACATTATCTTTTAATGAACATCCAAGGGGGAGTGTTATAAATATATATTATATTATGGATGCTCATTTAGTACTCCGTTGTAAATAAGCTTCCTGAAGAAGCTTATCCATATGGGACTCCGCTGTAAATATGTTTATCTATTTAGTACTGTATTGGAAATAAGCCTCCTGAAGAAGCTTATCATTTCGGTACTCTATTATGGATAAATATTACTCCCGGTAGAAGATTATCTATATCTGGTACAGTAGCAATTTACTAGCAACTTACAAGCAGCTTACACAGCAGCTTGCAGTAGCAGCTTCCTTTCTTCTATAAATAGAGGAGATTTCAATTCATTATGTACATCAGTTTGAAGTTGAATAATATATCAGCCTCTCTCTATACTTGCCTTCGATTTATTTGCTTTACGGTTTTTATTTTATAACAAATATCTCTATGGGATGTAATATTTTGAACATGTTCTAATATTAATACATGATATCCAGTTTCTTAAAAAAAAAGTTCAAAGATAATTAGAGGTATAATTAGTTTGGCCCGACATGAAACTGAAAATTACTTGAGAGCACGTTAAGGTCGGTGTGTAAGTAAATTGGGTTTTATTGGAAAAGCAAACCTAACAAGCTACTCTCTCTTCCAGTTTTCACTTTATTGCTGAGTCACACCCATTAAAAAATAAATTACTATACTCAGTCACCAGACTGAGTCCCAGCGACGTCGTTCCGTCAATGTTAATCTTTGTCCAAACCACGCTAGCAAAACAATCGACTGAAAACCAATAGCTCGTTGCAGAAACTGGTAACCTCTCAAAATTAGAGACCGCTCAATCCATTGGGTGCGAATACGATGCAGACTGAAGCCAGAGTAGGAGTGGTGGTGGATGGAGGAGGAAGCGCCGGCGGTGGAGGATGTGGCCGCGGAGCAGTGGTTGTGGACGGCGGAGCATCTCGTAAATTGATCACGCAGCAGCGCCAGCAGTCTCAGATCGGGACTGTTCCTCAGCTTCTCGCCGGTGGAGTTGCCGGTGCCGTCAGCAAGACTTGCACTGCGCCCCTTGCTCGCCTTACTATTCTCTTTCAGGTTCAAATTTTTACTTTATGTTTTCCTGATATTTTAAACTGATTATTATAATTCTAAGTGAAACTTAATTCGTGTTTATAGGTGCAAGGAATGCACGCGGATGCTAGTAGCTTAAAAAAAGCGAGTATATGGCAAGAGGCTTCACGTATTGTACGTGAAGAAGGGTATCGGGCACTTTGGAAGGGGAATTTGGTCACAATTGCTCACCGCCTTCCATATTCCTCTATTAGCTTTTATGCATTTGAACGCTACAAGAATGTTGGTACAAACGTTCTATGAAATTCTATTTTATTAAAGTGCCAATAATTTCTGGAACTTGTCTGTCTAATTTTTTTAAAAAAAAAATTATTAAATGCACATACAGGTGTTGCAGTTGATTTTGGGAGTGGAAAGCCAAGGAGAGAATATAACTGCAGACCTTTGTATACGACTTGTAGGTGGCGGTTTGTCTGGGATAACTGCTGCTTCTGTTACATACCCGTTGGATCTTGTTAGGACACGTCTTGCAGCTCAGGTGAGTGGAATTCAGATGGAATTTTGATTTGGTATTGGAAACATGTTTATTTGCTAAATAATGTATCATTCCCAAAATGCCGCGGAGACAAAGTTCAAAGGGGAAAGAAAAGGGAACAAAAGACCTACTTTTAATCGGTGTATTAGGAAAAAGTTTTTGTTCAGTAACTAAAACAGTTATAATCTTGATCACATGAACCAAGTTGTTCGGTGTTGTAAACAATAAAAAGCTCAGGCTAAGTTGTATTATTATTCAATCTTCATATAGTTTCCTTTTTCATTATGTCCTGGTTTGTCTTCATCAAGGTGATTTGTCTAATTACTCATAGGAGTACTCTATATCGGAGAAATCACATGTTGCATCCTTACCACTGAACAAAGCTCCTGGGGACAAATTAGATTAATTAGATGGATTTGAATATTTGTTCAGTCTGATGATTTCAGCCTCATCTTCCTTTAAGACCAGAATTATTAATCATTTCCTAGATGACTCGGGGTAGGGGAGGGGCTAGAGGTGTCGTGAATGGAATGTGGGTAGTTCGTCATTGAAGGTTAATAATCAGTGTCATCAAAGGAGAAAAGCGCTAAGGTCTCTTGGGGTTTTAAGTACAAAGCACAAATAAAATGCAGGTCTTAATGAAGAAAGGCGCAAATGGAGAAAAAAATAGAAAAATATATATAATTCAGGAATAATAATTAAACACAAATACAATTATATGAACAAAAATTCACTATAAAGTGGAATATTTATTGTTTAGTTTCGCTCTATTTAGGATAACACCCATTAGCAATGATACATACGCTTTAGAGCCTTGGTGACTTCACTAAAGCGCCTACAAAGCGGGGCGAAGCGCTCAGTCTGTTTTCCAACTAGTTTCGGGGCTTAGCGCACCTTAGGCGAGTCTATTTAATTGCAATTTGGACATACGGACACTAGCTTCAGGAGGCTCTCTTCTTTGATTGTTGACTAGTAAATGAACTGTACATAATCTGGAAAAAGGCTAAAGCTGTTTGCTTTTACATTCACACACACACACACACATTACTGTGGCCAGGCTTAGTTATCTTATAAACGGGTTGCTCTATCTTGTAAATGATGTCTTGTATTTTATTCATTTGGTTGAAAGCTTGGAACTATACGCTTTCAGTAATCAGTGCTATTATTCTTACTTTTGGTGAGATTCCAATGTTCCAATTACTAGATTAAGAAACAATAGTCTAGAGCGGCTGCTTGATGCCAGAGTTGTTGGAAAGTCAAAGCCCACAGATTCATTTATACTCTTAGTTAAGATAGTTTTGAAATTTCAGAAATGGTTATGGTTTCTCTTACATATTTCTGTAACAATTTGTTCCTTTTCTGAGACATTAGATCCTTTTTGGTAGTTTTACTCATTTTGAGTTTTGCAGAGAAATGTAATATATTACAGAGGCATTTGGCATGCATTACAAACCATCAGTAGGGAAGAAGGGATAGCCGGCCTTTATAAAGGAATGGGTGCTACTTTATTGGTATCTCTCTTTGTCCTTGAGATTCTATTCCTGCTGAATTGTGCTTTTCCTGTTTTATGCTGAATGTATATCTCAATTTCATGTAGGGGGTTGGCCCGAATTTGGCAATCAGCTTTTCAGTTTATGACACTGTGAGATCTTACTGGCAGTCTCATAGGTAATATTCGATGAGAGTGTACTGTCTATTCTCTTTTCATCATTTTTGTTTTCCTCTTGATAACTATTGGTGAAATGTGCTGTCATTCACTGGTTAGTTCTCTAGTTTGTCCCTCTACGCATTCATCTCAAGATAGCACTATATTAACACACCTCTTCATATCAGACCAGAAGACTCAACCGTCCTGGTCAGCCTTGCTTGTGGAAGCCTTTCAGGCGTTGCATCATCAACAGGTCAGTGATCTGATGTACATGAAAGGTGGTAGAAATTTTGAGCTTCCAATTTTGGTTTGATGTCCTATACAGGAAATAGCGATGGAGAAAAGTATTGTCTTACCTGTATTTCTTGAATTTTGGCTAATGCCCCCCAGCTTGTTAAGTGTTGGCACCACTTTGTTTAAGTGTGCTGTTGTCTCTCTCTGAATTTTCTGATCTCAACATCTTGTTACTACATGGAGACATATCTACATTGCCAAAACATTCAACTTCCACATGCTTCCTATTCCATAAATGTGTTCGGGAGGAAAAAGAACCCTGTTTATCCTCCTTTCGTCTATTTCTCCTGGCACCTTTGGTGCAGTTTTATCTTTATGATACCCTGCTTTGATAAATGTGTTCTGTAGCTCTCGACATCAAAACGAACAGAATATCTAACTGTTATTCAATGATTGGAATACTCTTTACAAAATAGATAAACAAATAGAAAAGCTGATGTTGTGTTTAACAAGCTGTTTCTCCACCTCAAAGTTGGTCCGGCACTGACTGAGTTCTAGATATGCAGAGTTAGGCCTTCAACTATTATGATATTAAACAAATCTATGGTATTTGAAAGTAGGTGTTAATGCATGTAGTTGTCTCATTGCTTTTGATGCAGAGAAGCAGGTTGAGGTGCTGGCTTCTCACTAAGTATCTAACTGGACTGACCCTTAGAGCCCGAGCACCTTTATCTGGCATATCGGAATTTAGTAAGGAAGCTCACCCCAACCCAAAAAAAAATTGTTTACTTGTCTTTCTCGCACTAACTTTTTGTTTCTGACTGGAAATGTCAGTCATAATTTTCGTCTCATACTTTAATTGGGTAACTTGGATCTCCAAACATGCAGTTGGCTCCACTATGGTGGATATTTGCACGTGAGCCATTTGTATTTGCAGTTATCAAAATGTGAGAGGCTTCCTCGTTGAGGTATGCTTCTCAATTAGGCTTGAAAATGTTATGTTACAAAATTGATAGTAGGACCATCAAGAATTAGCTGTGTTTATACTGGTCTTTGTGTGTAAAATTTGAATAATTCCATCTACTTCCTAGAAACCCTCAAAAATAAGATAGAGACAGCAGCAAAAGATTATGCATGCACTGGGGAACTAAAGGAAATGGCAATCTCACCTACTAAAATCTACAAATTAACAAAAAGAATGGAGAAAACATATTAGAAGTCCACTAGAATAATGATTAATGGAAGAAGAAACATGCATGAAAAATGAAACTGACCCCTTTTGTAAGAGATTCTCCCTCTTGGCTGCATCTATTCCTTCATCTTTGCAACCTGCTCCTTCTTCATTGCTTGTCTGAAGTCCCTGTTATGCATCTTTTGATATGGGATAGAAGGCTTTGGCATTGCAAAGCATTTTTTTGTTGATGTCTTACAGACTGTATGCATCACCCAGAATTTATTTATGCTATTTCAGTTTTGCTAAAGAGTAGAAACTTGTATATCTTTCTGATATAGATTTTAATTTGGGATATAAAAGAAGTTGGAGTTGCCCAGTCGGCTTTATGTATTCCGTACAACTAGCACCAGTGTTTTAAAAGCAAAAAGTGCGATTGGCGATAAGCAAGAACGAAGCACAGCTTCACTGAAGAAAATGTAGAATAATATAGGATATTGACAGCTATCTTATTTTTTTCAACTCACTTTCTTCATATAACGTACATACAGATCTAATATGCATTAAACATGTAACGACGACCACTGTCTTCAAAATTATCTCGTGATAAAACCATTTAATTCATTTAATTTGATAAATTTCACTTGCCAATTTCTGTGCAGTTCATAGATTTCTAGTTGTGACTAAAAATTCCTACTAATAAAGCATAAAGTAAAAGTGTCATATCACAAGATGAAGTAGGAAAATAAGAGGATAGCTGTAGAAGAGATACCAGAATAGAAGAAAGGAATAGGAGAAAGCAAAGCAGGGAGGATGAACGAAGGACAAGAAGAAAAGAAAGCAGACTGGGACAGAAGCTGAGCAATTACAGGATGAGGGAGAAAGAGAAGAAATTAAATCACAAAATAGTGATGATGAATTTTGAATCATCAAGAAAGAAGATAGAGGAACCTTTCTGGAGCAAAGTGAAAGGCATTTGGGACCTAGTTTTCTCTCCACCTTTTCTTCTAGTGTAGCAGCATAAGTAGGCCTACTTCCTCTCCATCTTTTTTTTTCTTCAGATAGATATCTAGACTCCTTAATTCTGTATTTGGGTTCTTTCTTAAGTACAACAGATCCCGATAGAAGCTCCCACCTCATTCCTTTATTACTTATGCCACTGTAACAAGCACTTCTTTCAAGTCACGTAGTTTGCCCAATGAGGCACCACACCTGCACCTCTCCATGCTTCCCCACTTGATGGTTAATACTAACAGGCGCATGTTTTGGCTTCTAATTTATTTAGATGTCCCGGTGGATGGGCAATCACCTTCATCATTCCCATTTTGATATTCTATATTGTCATAATTGGATCAGTTGCTTTTCAAGTCATCAACACAACCTGGTCAAAGTTTTTATTTTTTTTTTTTTTTTTGCAAAAGTAGGATAATAGGTTGCATCTCTTTTGCATTATCTAAAGCTGGGCATCGAGAATCCCAAATGTGCCTGATGGGAAAAAGTTGATTACATGATGAAATGCCTAATTATTTGCAGTTCTTTCATCTTTATGTGTATGGATGCTTTTGCAGTAACGTTTCCTTTGGATCTTGTGAGGCGACGAATGCAATTGGAAGGAGCAGGTGGTCGGGCCCGCATTTATAAGACTGGTTTGATTGGTGCATTCAGTCGTATTATCCAGACAGAGGGTCTGCGTGGTTTATATAGAGGAATTTTGCCTGAATATTACAAGGTTGTGCCTAGTATTGGTATTGTCTTTATGACATACGAGAAAATGAAACAGATTCTCTCAGATATTGACTGATGTGTTGGCTTGAGATATCGGAGAATAAACTTACAGGTATAAGGCGCCTCAAGATCATATACCAGAAGTTTGTAATTCTTTCGAAATCTGTGATTGTCGATGTAACCCACACCATTCATGTATAGATGGTTAAAAGAAGGCACAATTGCAGTAGTTAAAGTACAATTCAATTTTATGTATTGATATGATTCTTCTTGGTGCCTTTGATAAGCCTATGAGTTGAAGCTTCTTGTTGGAAAAGTGACTTAAAAAACAAAATAATTCCTGGAAAATCTAAAATCTGTGTCGATCATTTGGACGTCTTATTCATTTAAGTGTGAATAGACTTATACCTTGTCTTTGTCCTCCCTTCCCCTACGCCAGAAAAGAAAGGATACTACTTCCTTTTGGTGTTTGAATTGGAAAAAGAATTAGAATTGTAACCACACTGGACTCTTCTCGCAAGACTGCAGAATATGTGTAAATGGATATCATTGGCAGAGTTCCAATACAAAACCATCTCTTATCTCTGGAATAAGCCCCTTCCCAAAGTGGTTTAAACTTGGTGGCTTGTGTTGTTACAGGGATCTGCTCAGCAGTGTAGACTCGTTTCTACGGCAGTGCTCATCTATTATTTTGCCAGAGAACGTTCTGCTATAATACTCCCTATCTTCTTCTCTTACCTTTTTTGAGCTTGCTTGCGACAGAGATCTTAAAATTACCAGACAATCGTAGTGTTCATTGGTTGCGGTAGGAACATTGGCTAAAGAACACAATTCAGTTCACTTTTTTATCCGATAACGGTAGTGTCCAAGCCACCTTGCACACTTATTGAGTAAACCTGTAGGGTACATGCTATCTTTCACCAACATAGATACAGTGTGACTATCAACCAAAGGGTTAACATATGCGACAAAATCACCTAGTATTTTTTTTTCTCTACTGAGATTTGAACGTGAGACTTCATGGTTCTCTACCAATTTCAATGACTAAGCTAACACCCTTAGGGTGCCACAATTGGATTCACTCTGCAGTACACTACTCCAAAAATGATAACTGTAACAGAACAGCTTAAGTAGGATTTCGTTCAAAACAACATTTGTCCAAGACATTGGATAATGATCCCGGAGCATTCAGATGTGAACTTTTTGCAGTCCAAATGCACCAGCCCCCAATTACAAGACACATTTTCTAGTTAATATTCACTCCCAAATATGCTACTCCCTAATTCCAGGACATTTCAAGTTCTTCCTTATCAGTAACCCAAATGTTAGTGGGAGCTAATCCAGCTTTGCATGATCGACTCACGTCCTCATGGGAGGATTCAATGACCTCCAGCTTGCCACACAGCAGAGGAAATGATCATCGACAAAACGAAGTAAAAGAGCTATCATAAATGCATCATACAGGAAAACTTCCTGTCAGCCGAATGTGGTCCAATGTACGTCGCAAACCATACTTATTTACGGCTGCATTAGCAGCTCTAAATCCTGCACCATATGCTGGAGAAGCATCATGAGCTATCTGGTGCATGAAAAACTCACCCAACTTATTCTCCACACCTGACTTTCCACCTTTCTTGGAATATGACCACGTTGAAGAGGATGACGCAGTGGATGTGGACGGCATATTTCTGGATCCAGGCATTACTTCTGATTCAAGCCACATCTGAGAAAGCACTTGGCAGATTCCTTCCTCCACCTCAGGGCTGAGATTACGGAACCCTGCAAATTTCAGTGAATACTATGGTCACTGTATATTCACTCAAAACTGAAATCAGATAGTATTAACCATCACGAAGTTTTGAAGATGAACCATGTAGCAAGCTTTCTTTGCTTGATTGCCTGTATTTGTAGAATCCTTGCCCCATACAGGCGCGGTCAAAAGACAGCAATCAAATTACCTTTTAGACGTAACCAGGCATGCATCAGTTCATGAGCAAGAATAGCACCGGTAAGTAATCTGCACATTGAAAGATAATGGTAAGTGTTTCTGGCCTTAACATGCTTTAGAATCCAATAGTAATATTAATGGACAACTACAAGTACACCATCATCACTTTGTCACAACCAGTATATACAGAGAGCGGGTAAAGGACAATATGTCTGCTCCATCCACTAAAAATGTAGATCAATGATTCTTTTCATCTGCTTCAAACTTCATTTCACAAAGCACATCCAAGAAAACTGTTTAGTTCATGTAGATACTCCTATGTCCTCCTCTTAAGAACCCTATATTTTTCTGGAGTACGCGTAGGCTGGAATCCAAAGAAAGAAAAAAAAAAAAAAAAGATATTTTGACACCCTACTGAGCAAACTACCCTAATACATGTTAAATTGAAATATTGAACTTAATGCTGTAGAAAGTTCTATTCTTATAATCCCTTATCTTTTGTGTCAATACCTTCTCTTTCCTTTTTCCTGAGTGTTGTGGGTTTTTTTTTTTAGAAGGGCCGGGGGGGGGGGGGGGGGGTGGGGAGGGGAGGGGGGGGGGCAATGCCACACGTTGGTAATCGTTTTCAACAATGAGGTCAGGAGAATAATTACATATATATATAAAAAAATATGTTACCTAGGAAGCCCGTATAAGACTAGGATAGCTGTAACTTCACATTTTCTAGTTAGCTTCTGAGGCTGTGTTCTGATTCCTATTAGTCCACGACCACCCATTCTCGGCCTTTTGAGTATCTGGATTTATTCAAATAAAATGTCATAGCAGGTATAGGACATTTCACTAGAAAGGATTATTCTAAGTGATTGAAGATCTTACACTGGTCACTGTCTGCTCTTCTGATAGGCATAGACCTCTGGTTTCAGGCATATGATGAAAACCCTAAAAGAAATTCCAGTCATAAATATTAGCAGACTGAAGAACAGAGAAAAATACAAGTAGAGATCATTCGTACATGCTTCTCCCCTTCGATGGCTTCATTAAGGGCTTGTCTTTCAACAAGCAGCATAGGGACTTGCTGATCTATTGCCATATTCATGCCTTCATAAAAGTCTCTAATGGCATGGTATAGTTGTTGACAGTCCCCAGTGTCCACAATGGCCGACTCCGTGCACTCTAAACATAAGCTCCGACCATCTCCAAGTGATACGTATCTTGTATTACATGACTTCAAGAAGATAAAGAAGCAATATAAATAACAAGCATATAAGTTGAATGAAAGGCAACCCAACATTTCCCATTATCTGAAATACCTACCTCGAGACGTTCACAACTACAGCATCGTTTGGTGTTATCATTCTCATGTGAAGGACAATATTTCTGGGACCAAAATGGATGGCATCTATACTCTATCAATCCAGCTCCATTTGTTGGGATCTGCAAATATGAGTGTTAGATGATTATTAGATGTATTATCCTGTAAGGAACAATGCTACCTTTGACAATGATTTGCTAATAGAAATTTACAAATTCATAATTTATCCACATGACTGACAAAAGATAGGATGACACTTTTGCCTTTCCGCACAGACATTAATAATACTGAAGCTGTTTTCTGATAAAAATAAACACATAATAGACAATTTGACTCCAAGGGCCTAAGATGTAAGTGGGAAAAAAGGGCAATGCTATTCACTACTCCCTCCGGTTCACAATAAGTGTCCAATTTGCTTTTAGCACGCCCATTAAGAAAATACTAAATTCTATACAAAAATACCTACTATGACTAAACTACCCCTAATTAAACATTTAATGTGAGGAGTAAGAAAACTTTTTAGGGATATGTACATAGGGGTTATTTTGTAAAAACAAATTGAATTCTTTCTTGATTACATAACTGGACACTTATTTTGAACCAAAATGAAAAAGTAAATTGGACACTTATTGTGAACCGGAGGGAGTAACTAAACATACTAGAGGGGCCTAAATCCCCAGATGGTGACCGAACAAAAACAATGAACCATATTTGGATTGAAATGAGCATCTTCCAGTAACAAAATCACACAGAGAAGCAGTGTATCCTTACAAATTGGTGGCACACTTCGCATTTGGGATGAGTCAGTTCCTTGAAGCATGACTTATGATATGAATTGTTCCCTGACAAAGAAAACTTGAATCAACAAAGAAAACCAATGAGCTAAACATGAGAATGGGTTCAAACACTTTTAGCTTGTACAAGACTTGCAGTTACATGGTTTAATATTTTATTTTCACATTTGGAAGAGGGTTCAAGTGTTGGAAGAAATGATTAACACCAAGGACACTATTGTACCTCGTACTCGGTAATTTGAAGACCACAGGCATGACAAAGAAAGCACTCTGGATGAAAGAATGTTCCCATGCATCCCAAATAATTGCCAGAGCCAATATCCCCATGGCAGCCACTACATTTTCTGCAAAGTAAACGCATTCTCATTATTTCTTTCATAGTCATGAAGAAATAGTTATAACATCATATAATGTTCATCTTCAAGACAAGTGTACATATGTATCAACTACATGTTTGGCTATGCAGCAGTTTATTACCACAGAGTAAGGAATTTGGATTTTCAGTACTCCAAAACAAAGATAAAATATACACAGTCGCTTTCTTTGAATAACATACATGTATTTTTTTTCTTTATAACCGAGAAATTCCGAAGTGCCAGTGGCACATAGTTTGAAGCTCAGTTGGATAATGGGCCCTTCTCTCTACCCTTCTCCACTTAAATACCAGGCTTTTGACTTATATGCATACATGTACTATAAAGTACAAACAGATCCAATCATCACCTGAAGTTTGAATTATGTATATATCACCAAAAACAAGGAATCGCTTGAATATTTCATGTGATAGCATTTAGCACGTCACAGTCCTCTATTTGAGCAAGCATCTGACAGAACATTGATCAACCTTTTCTGATTAATTACTTGGATCTGATGGCAAAAGAATTTACCAAAACAAAGGATGTTCAGCATCTTATGTAATAAATCCACCATAAGTGAAAAAGAAACAATTTTTTCTGTATTTTATCTTATATCTTGCTTCATTATCAGTGGATACAAAAGCTGCTTTGCTTGGTCAGAGACAGATGAATCAACTACAGTATGTTGACGGTCAGCATAAAAAATAGTCAAATTCTATAAAACAATCTTTAAATGAATATAAAGAACTCATATAGCCGACTTTTGGTTTGATGTAAAATTGATTGATTCACATTGTAGAAGATAACTGATAAAGTTAGTAAACCTTACTAACTAATATTGCACAAGCTAATAAATCTCTAACACCACTAGGACTCAGTCCCAAACTGGTTAGGGTTGGCTACATGAGTCCTCATTGACCATGTTACTCCATTTATATTATCTCATGCCAACTTTATGCAAATATAAATAAAAAGTATTAGGTTGTGATACCAATTGGTGAGTGTAATACCAAGGTGAACTGAGAAGGTGAATATCCATTGAACCGATAGCTAAAGAATTTTCTTTAGACGGTTTTGCCTAGCCTAGATTAACACGGCACACCTTACCAACAATTTGTCCGGTCTTTATCCAACAAGAATCTTTAAACTATGGTAATCACGCCTACTATGGTTTTCAATATTCTATAATCAATTAAGAATCAATCTCCCATAATTGAAGAAAGAAACAAGAGAGAAAAGTTAGAAAAAAAATATGTTATTTCAGCACACAATATTTTACAAGGATAAGAGAGTTCTGCCTCTCTGAAGAAAAGTCTTTTATTATAAATTTCTGATAGCTCTCTACAATTCTCACAAATCTCCACACATAAAATAAGCTATCAATATCCCTATTTATAATAGTATGAAACCTATTTCAACTAGAAACAGGAAAGTCTATTCCTATATTTATTCTAACTACAAATGCTATTTAGACATGAATTAAATAAATCAAATCCTAAATAATTAAGGTATCCTACTACAACTTTGAATTAGTTTTCCAACACTCTCTACAACAAATAAGCCTTATTAGTTGTAGAGAGACAGAATCCTTCTGACACTGATCCAATTTGATTGGACCGACACTAATACATTTTAAAAATGTGAGCTAAAAGCTCAACTGATGTACAACCTAAAAGTCAAAAAGCACAACTAATGAGACACTTTAAAATGCACCAACAATGACCACTTATTTTGACATGAACTACTAAAACACTAACCATTAAAGTCCACTAACTTTACATAGTGGAAAATTTCAGCCATGAAAGACAAAAAAGCTAGTGAACGTTGGTGGTTGGTGCTTTAGTCCATGTCAAAATAAGTGGTGCCAAATCTAACTCCCATATAATATTGTTGGTCTTATAGATATTTTATAAAACTTATCTTTCACTTTGGTAGGCATCCTTCTATCACATAACACCCTTGTAACACTTCCCCATTTCAACCATACGACTTTGATTCTATTTATAACATCTTCATCTATCATTTCAGTCTCCTGAAACAACGAGTCTAAATATCTGAACTGTTTGCAGTTAGGCATTGCGATCCCATCGAATTTCACCTATTTCACTCTTCTTTTATTGGCTAAACTTGTAGCGCATATATTCATTCTTACTTCTACTTATAAATCCTCACTCTCTAAAATGCTTTTCCACAGTTCAAGATGTTGTTGACACTCTCATTGTTTTCGTCAATTAGCACGATGTCCTCCGCAAATAGCATATAACAGGTGACCTCCTCTTGTATTATATTGTGCTGGTTAGCTTTTCCATAACTAGGATAAACAAGCATGGTCAATGTCGATCCCTGGTGTAATTAATTTCTATCATTTAATGAAATTTCATGAAAGCAATTTTGTTTTAAGTGGCAAGGTAGACCTAAAACCAAATGTAGGGAAATTGTCTCGAAAGATTTGCAATCTCTCAAAATTCCAACGGTTTTAGCGAGGAACATAAGAAAATGAAGCAAAAGATTCATATAGGCGATACCAACTAGTTGGATTAATGCTTAATCATATCGGTACATTTCCATTAAAGCCGGTGTTCGGCAAAACTCCAAAAGTCTTTTTTTGTTTGTTTAATGATTTGTGTCTCCGAGTAAGGATAAATGTGATATATAAAGAACCTTTACTATTAGAGAACCCCTAATTTGTCTTAAACATAAATTATTGAATATTGGAATGAAATGGATCCAAATGAAGGAGAATTAATAAAGAGGATTCATATAACCGACTCAACTAGCTTCGGGTTCAGGGATAATAGTTGATTTGTATTGTCATTTCAAGTTACCAAATCAATAATTCCAATAAAATAATGTTTACCAATTTTAGGAAAACTTTTTGGTTTATAAATTATTAGAAAAAAGATAATAGATTGTGCACTATATTTTGAATTTTAAAAGTTTTGAATGAGTAAGTATATTTTGATTTTGATTATAAATTAATAGAAAAAAAAAGTGATGGAGTAAATAAAATAAAAATCGAAAATAGTACACATTTTGGGTAATGTTGAAAGAATATAAAACTAAAAAATATCATGCTTTTATAAGTTTCCAAGTTTCTCATCTCCGACGATATAATGCAAAAATCAAAATCTCAATCTTGTAAACATAAAACAATTACCTACAACCTCTGGCATTGTAATCCCGAGGGGCGTGTGAAGGAGCATGTGGAGGAGGATATGAGGACGAGTTAATGTTATCATGGAGTGATCTTGCTAGGTCTTCATCTTTCCCAGTTCCCTGTCGTCTTTGTCCTATGAAAAAGAGCAACACACTCACAGTGATATATTAAATTCAACAAACAAGTAATCACTCTAAAAGATTGTTGAAGGAAAAGAATAGAACATGCTCCACAGGCTTGTAAAATATAAATAAATACCATTTGGTCTCTTCGAATCTTTGGCTAGAGAGCGTGCAACTGATCGATCTAGTTCCTCTTTCTCTTTACTGGCTCTAGAGTGATCGTCCTGTTAACTTTTAAAATGCATTAGCAAACCATTCCATCAAAGAAGATATGCAGTTCAACATAGAAATACTCCCCCTCCCCCCATCCCCCAAAACAAAAATGAAGAAGAAGTTAGTTATGGCTTAATATCAGTTTGATGATACAGTTAATCAATTATCTAAACTTGAGAGTGGAAGAATGTAAAAGCCTTTTCTTTTTCTAATTCTAGTTGGAACTATATCTTGAAGAACTTCAAGAACTTGGCTAGATATCGTCAGCAATCAATTTGCATGATACTTAATTTACATATGATCAGCTTTTCAAGTCATCTTGAATGCCGTTAATTGTTGTAATAATAAAATTCATTGGCTAGAAAGGTAAAATGAAGAACACAAGTACATCAAGTAACTATCCATATTCCAGTCTTTGAATGACATAAGCTAGCTAATTATATGGGGTATGTCTTTAAACGAAAATGGAATTATGGCTACAGACTTGAATATAAGAGATCAAAGTAGCAGATATAAATATTTAACCAGCATTCTGTTTAAACATTACAATACACATAGGTTCTTTACCAATATATCCAAACTAACTATTTCTATTCTGAATGAAGAAGAATTTTGCTTTTAGTAATTCTCTACCCGAGAAAAGCTTTTATCTGTAGTAATCCATAATCCAAAACATGAACAAGAAAGTTACCAGTGGTCTGAGTGGAGGGCGCCTAACCATGTTATCCTCCTCTCCAAAAAACTGTGGTCGTCCAGCTGGCACACTCCTATTGGCTGAGCCACCCTTGAAAAGCTTACTAAGCCATCTCATAAACCTTGACTTCCTCTCTGCGTATCAAGAAACAACAGAGTGATCTTCTTAGAATTATTATACAAACCATCCCAAATACTCAAAAAGGATTACACTTTATATAGCTTCGAGCCCAATTAAGAAGTAGTGAAAAATTACCAAATGTGAAAGGCTGATTGACACTTGAAGAAGACATGGCATGAAGACAGAGAAATTATAGTTTTTCTGGGATTTGGAGAAAGTCCTTGAAAAGGACTAAGAGAAAGAGGGAGAGGGGGAGCGAAGAAGAATGGCATCATTGTTGAAAAGGCTAAGAGAGAGGAGAATATGTGAGATTCTTGGCTTGAGGGAAAGAAATGAAAGACTAATCGAATTGGGGAATCTGCTGAGGCGGATTTTAGATGGAAAGGGAAAAAGGTAAACTGGCAGTTCCGATTTTGAACGGCTCAGACAAGTGGTGGGGGTGCTACTGAGAGTGTAGCTTCGAGAAGAATATATATATATATATATATATATATCCCGGAGAATTTCTTCTTCCTGTTTCAGAATTTGGTTTCCGCGGTAAAGGATGTCCCTTTTAACCACTGTGTCCTCACCTCCCTTTCTTGTAAAGTAAAATGTCAAAAAAGAAAGAAAGTTACATTGGTAGTGACACACAATTAGGGTGTGTTTGGTACTGAGGAAAATTTCCTGAAATTTGAAAATAGGTGGTGTTTTTACATATTTTTAGGTGCAGAAAATATTTTTGAAAAATAATACTTTCTCCGTTTCAGTTTAAATGAGGTAGTGTTTGATTTGACACAAAGTTTAAGAAAGAAAAGAAGACTTTTGAAATATGTGGCCTTAAAACCTTAAGGGGTAACAGCTTTGTGGGGCCATAATATTTGTGTAGCTATAAAAGCTTTCCATTAAGGGTAAAGTGAGTAAAATGAAAAGTTCAAAGTTAAATTATTTCTATATAGAATATGTCATTCTTTCGGGAACGGACTAATAAGAAAAGTGTGTCATCTAAATTGAAAAAGAGGAAGTATAATTTAGACAAATACTTGGGAGACAAAATATGTAAGGATGCGGAAGGGTGATAGGTCAGGTTTAGGGGCCGGGGTTGCGGTGGGAGATGGCGGGTGGTGGGTTGTTGGTGGGGATTGGGGTGGAGGTGGAGAGTGGGGTGGGGGTTTGGGGTGTTGGGGCTAAGGGTGGAGGGCGGTTATCTATTTCGAGTACAGATAATGAGGGATGCTGATTTGACCATCCAACATCGCAAGTCAAAGCTAGGCCGGCCACAGCTTGAGGCTTGAGGTTCCTATCGTGCCACTCTTTTTATGGATCATTGTCAATATATGAATGGTTGCTTGGTATGTTTGATCCACACTTCGAAAAAGTAAAAACGTAAGAATAAAGTATATTTAAAAAAAAGTACTTAAGGAGTGAGAAAGAAAAACTTGATTAAGAAATTAAATTGGGTCGAATATTTTAGTAGAGCAACGTCTAAAAAAGTTCATTACTATCTCGGCCAAATATATAGATTGCCCCTTAAACTTGTTAGAATTTTTCATTTAAATACTTAAACTAAGTTTTATCCCTATTGAACCCCCGGAATTGTGCCAATTAGACACGTTTTACTGACATGGCAGAGTATGTGTGCAACACTCATTTTGAGGCGTCAGACCAATATCTTGTAGCAAAATATTTTGTTCTCCTTCTTCCTTACTTTCTTTCCCTCCTACCATCTTCCACCACCATCTGCCACCCTTCGTCTTCCCATCTAGTAGGGGGAAAAGGAACGAATGTAGATCCACAAAAACAAAATAGAAAATACTCTTTCATTCATCATTTCCTTCTCTCTTTTTTGTTGGTGTCAAATCCTTAACAGTTAAGCTTAGAATTTTTTTGTTCATGCTGGAACATCCACCATTTATCTTAATTACAACTCCTGAACAACTATCACTGTCCAGTGATTTCTTTCCAAGGTTCACATTCACCATCGAAGAAATTCCCAACATTATATAGGGTAAAATCAGTCTATAATAAATGGTATTTTACCCTATAATGAATGGTCGAATGATAGTATGACACGTGGAACCGAAGACAGATAAAAAAAAATCGAGTAACAACCAGTATCGGTAATAACAACTACAATTAACATCGGGTAAACACGAAGGGAGTATGGTCAACGACAGCAAATCGTATATTTGCCATCAGATATCATTCAATGAAGAATATCTTTCGAAATTAAGTGGGCAATCATTGTAGAGAATATTTGCATTCAGAGCTTGTCGTTACATATTCATCAATGACTCCTTTATTATTATTATTTAAGTCGGGCTTTATACAAGGATCTTGTTTCCCTAGGTATAACTATAAATAGCAGACCCAGCAGCCATAGTAACACACGAAATTTTTGGCAAAACATATGTTGTATTCCATTCTCGTTCTCAATTAAACGACTTTATTTGCTCTTTTACGTTGTTCTCATTTCTGTCCTCAAAGACGTTGTTCTCGGAGCCAGGATTGTCGTCTTCTTCAATTTTAATCGCTAGATCTTATTTTTAATATTATTTATTTAAAACTTTTTGGATCAAATCAGTTCACTTATCTGTAAAGCATGTAACAAATTCAACTGTACCGTTTTACGGGTAAACGGTTTGGCGCCCACTGTGGGGCTTAGACAATTGCGTAATTGCTTTGATTCTCACATTTGTTACTAACTTGTTTGATTTTTTCCTTAGAAATAAATCGAAAATGGCAGCTAATGATGTCAACATCTCACACAATGTTGAGGGACACGAAAATTTGCCTCAACATGAGGATTCAATCAGCGACACCCGTAACTAAGGGGAAAAGGCAACCCCGGTTCATGAAGGGCTATCTCTCGGGCATGTACGGGAGCCAACTCCCGATGACGCAGAAGAGGAACATATTACGGAAACAATAAGAATCCTAAGAGAAAAACAGAAAGCCATCATGGGCCACCTTTCAAGGCAGGATCAGGTGATGACGGAGTTGAAGCAAGCGTTATCAGGCGCTTTCAACAACGCAAACGGAAGGGGCCTAGTTCCTCTCAGTGTTCCTACAAATCGAACGACTCAAAGAGTTGATAACAATACCCCAAGGGGTGAGGTCAGTTTCGACGGTCCTGGGGGGACCGGTAGCGGATGTGGTAACGATAAAGGTAGTGATCCCTTCAAAACCGAGCTCATGAGATTTATGAGGGAAATAAATGAATGGATCCATCAAAATGCGAAGGAGTTTCATGCCCAAATGGATCTGATTTCGGGAGCACCACCGGCTTTGAAGGGCCCAGATTCGAAAAAATACACTCGATTGTCGTTTAAATCGAGTGCAGCACCGGAGTTAATTCCAAAAAGGTTCAAATTTCGGATATACCAAAATACGATGGGACTTCAAATTCGCACGAGCACATCACAACATACACCACGACTGTAAATATAACGATTTGGCTCAACATGAGATCGAATAGGTCTTGCTGAAGAAGTTTCGCGAAACCTTCACAAAGGGAGCCTTGACATGGTATTCACTATTACCCGAGCATTCAATTGACTCTTTTGAAATGCTTGCAGATTCATTCAAAAAGGCGCATGCTGGGGCAAGGAAGGTCCAAGCCAGGAAGGCGAACATATTTAGGATCGCGCAAGATGAGTCCGAATTACTGAGAGAGTTTTTGATAAGGTTCCAGAAAGAAAGGATGTTGCTACCGGTCGTACCAAATGAGTGTGCAGCGGAGGCGCTCACAAAGGGTTTGAATCCGAGGAGCTCTGACGCCTCCCGAAAGCTGAAGGAAAGCCTGCTCGAATTCCAAGCGATCACATGGGCGGATGTCCATAATCGTTATGAGTCGAAAATAAGGATAGAAGACGATAAACTCGTGTTCTCTACATCAACCAAGGGACGGGATCGAGACAAGAACCAGGATAAGTTCAAAGTGATTTCAATGTGAATTGGCAACCTTCTAAAGGTCATTTCTTGCCTTACAAGAGAACCAAAGGACACGGCAACAAAAGGTTCCAATCCTCGGATAGGTTTGCTCCCAATAGAAGAACTGACCGTGGCCGGAACAATAGATTGTTACAAGAAAAAGAGGTATCGGGGGCCCGAGATTCCACATATCCTAGGTTTTCGGATTACATTTTCAACATTAGTGTAGTGGAGTTGGTATCAGAGATAAGGAATATCAAAGAAGCATGATTCCTGAAGCTAATTAGATCCGATCCTAGCCAGAGGGATCCTAAATTATGGTGTGAATATCATGGAACTCACAACCACAGAACTGGGGACTACCGGCATCTGCGTGAAGAGTTGGCGACGTTGTTGAAAAATGTCCATCTCAGGGAGTTCTGAGCAACCGTGCCAAGAACAATTACGGTCGTCGCTGCGACAATGCGAAGCCTTCGAAGATAACAGAAGACCCTCCTCGGTTAGCTATCAATATGATTTTTGGAGGGAATGAAATTAATGGTGTAACCTTCTCGGTGGCCAAGAAAATAAAGATATCAGTAACCCACAACAAGAAACTCCGGGAAGTCACAAAAGATGACATCACCTTCACGGAGGAAGACGCCGACGAATTTCTTCTGCCACAGAATGACGCCCTGGTAATTTCTCTCAATGTCTTAGATTTCAAGATTAAGCGTGTTTTGATTGACCCAGGAAGCTCAGCCAACATCATTCAATGGAGAGTGTTGGAACAAGCAAAGTAAACCGGAAGCATCATTCCGGCAATAAAACTCCTCACTGGGTTCAACTTGGCAAATGTGACAACCCGAGGAGAAATCCTGCTGCCCACGAATGCCGAAGGGGTAACCAAGACCACCTTATTTGAAGTAGTAGACGGCGACAAGGGTTACAACATAATTCTTAGAAGGCCGTGGATACATGAGATGAAGGTTGTGCCCTCAACATATCATCAATTGTTCAAATTCCCGACCTCAAAAGGAATCAAGAAGATAAGAGGAGATCAACCGGCAGCAAGAGGGATGAACACAATGTCCATTTCCAGCAGCAAAGGGAAGGAGCCCAGCAAATAGCAATTTCCAAAACCGACGCCTTCTCCTTTGACCAATGATGATAAAGGCGAGGAGTCGTTGGAATCCCACCAGGTGCCGAGATACTTTCAGGTACCGGAGGAGACAAACGCAACCAAGTCCATTGTAGAAGAACTCGAGTAAGTAGCTTTGTTCGAAGAATTCTTGGAAAGGAAGTTTCACTTGGGAACACGACTCAATCCTGACTCAAGTCAGGATTTATTAATTTCCTTAAATCTAACGTTGATTGTCTTGCATGGTCACACTCGAATATGTTACGATCCCATTAGAGGTGGTCGTGCATAAGCTAAGCTTGGACCTGAAATTCCCACCGGTAAAGCAAAAGAAACGCCCAATAGCCGAGGTCAGAAACATGTTTGTTAAGAAGAGGTAACCCGACTACTCGATATCGATTCAATCCGGGAGCTAAAATATCCAGAATGGTTAGCCAACATTATTGTAGTTCCAAATAAGTCGTGCTCTAAAGACTCGTTCTTATTGCAAAACAT